CCCCGATCCCGGCGCCGCCCCGAGCCCGGGCTCTCTCTGAAAGGCGGGATCCGGGTACCAACCCGCCTCGCCGAGCTAGCGCCCTGCTCCCGCTCCCGCTCCCGCGCTGGGTGCCACCTCGCCCACCACACCCCTCTCGGGGGCCCCCGGCGCCGGGACGGACGGAGATGCTCAAAAAGGACGTCCCTCGGGCGCCCGGTCGGCCCCTTGCCCTCCATCCCTCTCTACTTTGGGCGCCCACCAGGCGCCCCGGCCCACTTACCGCACGGCCGCGAGATGGAAAGGGCGATGGCGAAAGCGGCAGCTCTGCGCCGGCCGAAGCAGCCGCGCGGCCAAGGAAGACACGAAAGAACTTGCAGCCATAGCCCGCGCCGGGAGGCTAGAACGCGCGCGGGCCGCACGGTTATACCGCAGCCGCGTGGCAGGCCCCGCCTCTCGCCGGCGCGCATTGGCCCCATCGCCACGCCACCGGCTCTCCGTTGGGCCGGCTGGAGCCGAAGGAGCCAATCGGTTGCGCCTATTCAACGTACACCGGGTCCAGAAGAGCCCTGCTTTTGATTGGAGCGAGAGGGGCCCGGAGCGAGGCCCCGGAAGGCTCGGATGCCTCGGTAACATGCCAGGATTGGCTGTGCAAGTCAAGCCCCTGCCTGACGCGGCTAGTGTCACCGAAGCCTGGCCAACCCAAGCGCAAAGTTCATTCATTCATTCGTGGAACAATTATCTGAGCTCCTACTGTGTGCCAAGCGCTGTGACGGGTAGATGAAAAGACGGGCAGATAGAATTTCTCCTAATAAATGTGGAAGGAATGATGGAGTTAAAAAAAAAATCACCATCTGCGCCGGGCGCGGTGGCTCACTCCTGTAATCCCAGCACTTTGGGAGGCAGAGCCAAGAGAATTGCCTGAGCCCAGGGGTACGAGACCAGCCTGGGCAACTTGGGGGTACGAGACCAGCCTGGGCAACTTGGCGAGACCTCATCTCTACAATAAATCAACCAATCGATCAATCAAAAAATTAGCCAGGCGTGGTGGCACATGCCTGTGGTTCCAGCTACTTGAAAAGTTGAGGCTTTAGGATCACCTGAGCCCAGCAGGTGGAGGCTGCTGTGGCTGTGAGCGTGCCACCGCACTCCAGCCTGGGAGATAGAATGAGACTCTGACTGGGGGGGGAGGGGGAGAGGGAACCACCATTTGGATCTGGACGTGGTGGCTCACGCTTGTATTCCCAACACTGCCTCCACGCTGAGGCAGAAAGATCGCTTGAGGCCAGGAGTTGCAATATAGCAAGCCCTGTCTCTACAAAAAAGAAAAGAAAGGAAAGAAAGAAAAGGAAAAAAATAGCCATTTGGCAAAATAATAGTAAAAACTGATTTGGAGTCATCAATTGGGGTCAAAACAACTGGAAAAGTTGTATGGGGAATGAGGTATTTACATATAGGTTGCCAGAGCTAACAAATAAAAATGTGAGATGCCCAATTAAATTAGAATTCTGGATAAACATTTTGGGAGGCCATATTTATATTTAAAAAGAAAAGTATTTGTTGTTATCTGGAATTCAAATTCAATCAGGTTTTCTGTCTTTTCTCCTGCATCCCTTTGGCATAGTCTTTTTTTTTTTTTTTTTTAGTTGGAGTCTCACTCTGTTGCCTGGGCTGTAGTGCAGTGGCATGCTCATGCCCACTGCAGCCTCTATCTGCTGAGCTCAGGCAATCTTTCTGCCTCAGCCTTCCAAGTAACTGGAACCACAGGCGTGCGCCACCATGCCTGGCTAAGTTTTCTTGACTTACTGTAGAGACTAGGCCTCGCCAAGTTGCACAGACTGGTCTCAAATCCCTGGACTGAGGTAATCCTCTTGCCTCTGCCTCCCAAAGTGCTGGGATTACTGCGCCCAGCCTGCATAGTATTAAAGTATCTCTCCTGCAAAAAATTTTTTAAAATTAATTAATTACAAAAAAAGGACTGTTATCACCTCAAACAAGTGATCAAAGTTAGCACTACCCAGTAATGAAACACACATTGTGTGCCTTCTGTTATGATGCTTTGAGGAGGACACATCACTTCATAGCTTTTAACAAATCTTGAAATTTAAGGAAGTGATTTTTCTAAACCAGGATTCTCCTAAAAACTATTACAGATTCCTCATTTTCACTTTGAGACACGAGATCACAGATGTGGAATGCTAAAATTGCCCAACAAAATAACATAATCCTGACGTTTTAGAACCTACCAGTAGATCTTAATCTACTCATAGGAAATATCAGACAAGCTTACAATGAAAGATATTCTACAAGATAAATTGCTTGTACTCTTTGACAACATCAAGGCCGTGAAAGACAAAGAGGAATTGTTCTAAATCAAAGCAGTCTCCTCTAGGCAAGACTATAAAATACTGTGTGATTCTGGATTACATTCTGAGCCAAAATTTTTTTTTCTTTTTTTTTCTCTTTCTTTTTTTTCTCATTTGCTATAAATGACATTATAGAACAACTGACAAAATATGGATCGAGTTTGTAATTAGCATTGTACAATGTTAATTTCCTGATTTAGCTGATCATATTATGGTGATGTAAGAGAATGTACTGTACTGCTTTTCAAGGTAAAGTGACATGTCTAAGACTTACTGTCAAAGGGTTCAGAAAAAAATAATGTGGGTATATATTAGTTTGCTAAGGCTGCCATAACAAAATGCCACAGACTGGATAGCTAAAACAGAAATTTGTTTTCTCAAGGTTCTGGAGGTTAGAAGTAGGGTTTTTTCTGAGGCCTTTGTCCTTGGCTTGTAGATGGCTATGTACTTGCTGTGTGGTGGCCTTTGCTCTGTGTACAGACATCCCTGGAATCTCTCTTGGTATGTCTTAATCTCCTCTTTAAAAAAAAATTTTTGGTGGATGCAGTGGTTCACGCCTGTAATCCCAGCACTTTGGGAGGCGGAGGGGAGAGGATTGCTTGAGCCCAGGAGTCTGAGACCAGACTAGGCAACATAGTGAAACCTCATCACTACAAAAAAGTCAAAAAATTAGCCAGCATGGTAGTGCACATCTGTAGAGGCTAAGGTTGAAGGATTGCCTGAGCCCAGAAGGTCGAGGCCACAGTGAACCATAATTGTGCCATGGCACTCCAACCTGGGTAACAGAGCACAACATCAACTCAAAAAAAGAAAAGAAAAGAGCGGACCATGGTGGCTCATGCCTATAATCCTAGCACTTTGGGAGGTGGAGGCAAGAGGATTCCCTGAGCCCAGGGGTTCGAGACCAGCCTGGGCAACTTGGCAAGACCTTATCTCTATAATAAATAAAAAAATTAGCTGAGTGTGGTGATGTCCACTTGTAGCTCCAGCTACTTGGAAGGCACATGGTGTTTGCTTACTCTCCTCTCTCTGCTCTGCACTCCCAGACTGTCTGACTTAAAAGCCTGGGCCATAGGCCTCCACTTTAAGTAGGCCTAAATATTTCATAGACACATAAGGAAGAAAATATACACAGGAAAAATAACCACTGTGCTCCATTACAACATGGACAGAATGAATTGCCTGTTTCAGTCCTTGGTACCACATCTTGATGTCTGCACACTTGTCAATTTCTGCCAATAGAATGTGAGCTTATTTAACCAAGATGATTTATATCCTATGATTCATCTTTAGCATGTGAGCACAAGGTACATTAATGATCAATTAGCTATTAATAATCATTACCCAGGAATTCTCAATAAATTTTAATTCCTCAAAAAAAGTTCATCTTTACTGAACACTTACAGTGTATCAGGCACTGTGTTAATCACTACAGTATCATAGTAAATATATGAGGTCTCTGTTTCCCGTTCCTGTAATAGAGCACCTAAACTTTTGGAATTTCCTGAATGACAGGAGTATCTTTAATTATTCATAATGGCCCCTTTCAGGTAACACTTGAGTTTAGACTAACTCTGTGACTGACTGAGATTAGGGCCCCTTGATAGCCTCAGGATGGGACCAGTTGCCAGAAAGACCTAGCAATTACAGGATTAGAGGGTTAGAATTTTCAGCCCACTAACCAACCTCCAGCAAGGTAAGGTATGGAAATGAATCAAACTCCATATAGCCACTTTTTTAAAAAACAAAAATAAGGGTCTCTTCATGCTGGCCAGGCTAGCCTAGAACTTCTGGTCTCAAGTGGTCCTTCTGCCTTGGCTTCCTACGGCACTGGGATTACAGGAACGAGCCACTGCATCAACTGTGTCACCCAGGCTGGAGTGCAGTCACAGGATCACGGCTACCACAACCTTGACCTACTGGACTCAGGGGATCCTTCCACCTCATCCTTCCGAGCAGCTGGAATTACAGGCACGCACCACCACACCCAGCTAATTTTTTGATTTATTGTAGAGATGAGGTTCGCCAAGTTGCCCAGGCTGGTCTCACCCCCCCCCCCGGGTCGGCAATCCTCTAGCTTCTGCCTCTCAAAGTGCTGGGATTACAGGCTGAGCCACCAAACCCAGCCAGCACCATCTTTTTTAATCTCAACAATGCTGGGAGATAGGTTATGTTCACTGTTTGCGATGAGTGAACTGAGATTCAGAGACTTGGCCACTTGCCAAAAGTCACTCACCAGGCAAGATGAAGCAGGCTCCAAACCCAGATAAGGCTGACTTGGAAGTCTGGCTTCTGACCTTCCATTTCAAGTGGTCCTGGATGTCTCATAGACACACAAGGAGGAGTTGGGCCCATACCCAGGCAAAACAACTTAAACATATAAATAGGTGAGATATAACAGTTGGACAGAAGAGGCCATGGTGATGGTACCCACAGAGACCATAACCAGTCTGCATACACCAGTATAGTGGTGGTTACAGACATAAAAAATCAAAATATTTCTGTGCCAAGTGGCAAAATCTACTCTCCCAAATCCATGACTATCTAACACACCCTAGCACCCTTCCCTAGGGAAATTAACATCAACATGTGAATCATCAGGTGAGGAAACTGAGGCACAGAGAGATCAGTAACTTCACACAACTAGTAAATGGCCAATGATTATTTTCAAATCCACTCCCTTTCTTTATTTAAGACACAATAAAAATAATAATAAGTTTTTAACTTTAAGAGAAAAGGAGGCCTGGCTCAGTGGCTCAGCCTATAATCACAGCATTTTGGGAGGCTGAGGCGAGTGAATTGCCTGAGCCCATGGGTTCGAGACCAGCCTGGGCAACTTGGCGAGACCTCAACTCTACAAGAAAAAAAAAAATAGCTGGGTTTGGTAGCATGCACCTGTAGTTCTGGCTACTTGGAAGGCTGAGGCGGAAGAATGGGGGAGCCCAGCAGGTTGACGCTGAGGTGGCCATGAACATGCCACGGCACGGCACTGCAGTCTGGGCGACAGAGTGAGACTCCAGCTCAAAAAAAAAAGAGAGAGAAAAGGAAAGATGTCAACCATGCAAACTTCAGTTTCTGAG